AATGATGTAATTAATTTCGTTTTTACTTTTTAAACTTATGTTATTAAGAAACATTTATGAAATTAATGTCAATTTTGATTTCTATTTATCATTATATATATGATTTAATAAGTATAAAAAAATTAGTACTTTAGACTATAAAATTAAAATAACCTAAAAAAAATTGTAATCAACGTGTCGGCGACGTATTGTGTTGGAACTTTTTTAAAAATCGCGTGTCGGCGTGTCCGTGTCGGTGCTTCTTAGATCAAAATTGAAGCCATTCTCATCCCAGAGAACATAGTAGTGAGTAGGTTTGCTGGTCCCAAGACCTCCATAGTGGCTGCACAGGTAGAAATCAAAATTGAAAGGGTGAACAATTGTATCCACCACAGTTCCTGGAGGAACATTGCTAGAGGCATCCCCATCACTAGCATTTTCAAGAAAGAGTCGAGTACGGTGCCCTTTTTGAGCAACGACTAGTGTTATTGGTGGTTTGTAATCATCACTGTAAATTGTCCTCATCAGATCAATCAACTCCTCATTGAGGACCATGTCAAATTGATTGTCACCAACCCCATCACGGAAAACCACAATTTTGCTCGGTTTGACACTGTTGATCTGAGCATAAGTATTAACCAGATCTGAACTATTACACCAAAATTTAGAATCTTCTCTTTGCCACTATCCTGTGGACACACTTTTGCAGCATACCGATTTGCAGCAGGCCAATTAACCGTGCCAACTACTGCAGCTATAGATGGACAGTCCCTTCGCCCCGGGTGACTCACATCTGCCCCAATGAACATAACATGCTCTTTACCCTCAAAATGAGGAAGCCTTCCACTTAGCTCCACATTGCTTCCTCCAAGTTTTGCATTTATCTTTAGACAAAGACTTGCAAAGTATTTGTCTTGCCCTTTGCTTACAGTCGTAGACAAGCAACACTGAGTGATAACACCAATTTTTGTTTCAGATACAAATTTAAGACACTTATAGCCACGATCTTTCTTTGTCATCACACAGACAATCAATTGCAACTTGCCACTTTTTACTCATGAAGCCTCCTCAACAACACTGCTAAGAAGTCCTTCGATCCTGCTAACAGATAAAAATTGGCTCATATAAGCGGAATAACGCATAAGAGGCTCATCCATAGACATTCCAAGACTATCGCAACGGTTCCTCAAATTCCTGATGAATTTGACCACATGCAGCTTTAAATTATCTCCTTTGGTGAAGTCAATCAGAGCCCAACGTTCAATTGATTTTCCCTCCACCAGAGATTTTCCGATAAGGTTCCACTAGCACTTATCCCTATCCACTTTTACCACACTGAGAGAACCAAGCTTCAAATCAGGAACACCGATGACACGACCAGCAACCCTTGTCATGTTCTTGTCAACTCCAATTTCAAAATTCTTCATGACATCCCTACAATAGATAATTTGAACAATTAATAACACCATAATATCCTCACAAACAACGATTAACAGAGAAAATTGTATATTCAACTGAATCACAAGTTGCCAGACGCTTCACTTATTCTTCTACACAAATATTTTCTTTTTTACATTTGCAATAGTTGGTTCATTTTACAAAGAACTCAAACA